CACAAGAAATTTAGCCAGTGCAGTACAACCGCTAGACTGGGGTCTTTAACGTGCACCACGCAGTAGTGATACACGACTGCACGCTGGTACGATGCTCATCCAGATTGAAACGGGCAGGGGTGTGGATTGAGCCCAGGATCCCTGGTTTCTGCAGCACGAGCTTTCACTCCACGTGGTGTGTGCTAGTCCACTCGGTCACTGATCCCCCTCCGACTTTCTAAAATTTTACAATTCAATGTAGAATGTAGTGTTTCTACAGCGACAAATTTGGGTCGGGGTGAGTTGCTAGGCAAACCACATTCACGAATAATCAGATAACCATCTAATAATGCGACGCTGAGTCACTCACTCACCTGGCATCTGGGATATACAGTGCAACCCACTTATAACAATACCACATATAACCATGTACTGCTTATGATGATCAGTTTCCAGACTGGAAATGATCAGTTTCTAGTCCAGATACAACGATAACCAGTTATAACGATTGAAGTTTCTGTTCGTCTAATGATCGTTATAAGTGGGTTGCACTGTATACCAGCATGGAGGTAGGAAGCTTCTGGAGGCGATATGATGCCATCAGAGGTGAAGTCGGGGTTGACTTCCGGTTTGGAGGGACACGCCCCCAATGACGACCAAAACCGAAAGACACTATTGGACGGAAAGGACAGCTGATTTGGCGCCAACAGCTTTTTTGGTCACCCTTGGAGGCGTTTCACTGACTGCAGCCTCTACTTCCGGTTTTACTTGGAATTTTCTTGTTTGGCTGCCTTGAGCCAATATGTCGCCTCCTCTTCTTCCTGCCCCCATGTATAGCAGAGTGCTGATGAAGCTAACCTTGCTATGACTGCAAACAACCAATAGGCGATGACTATTTCTGGCCCTTGCAAACACTATGGGCCGCAGCCTCTAGAGAATGTCTAATGACACTAATGCTAGTTCTTCTAAGGAAATAAAATCAATGTATATAATATTCAGAAGTTTGAAAGGTAATGGGGTTGGATGACCAACAAATGCACACGTGTTCAAACTCCTACATTCTTGTCTAGCATTAAAAGTTTGCGTGTATTCTAATAAAGATTATTATTGTTACTGTTACGAGTGTGCGCGCAAGCTGTTTAAGAGTAGAAGAAAATGGTTGACATGGTGGTAAAATTCCCTTCTGCAGCACTGTCATGCTTATGTGTAGCATTAGCTATTTTTCTTTTTCTTTTAGGATTGTTTTGTTTTTTTGTGTCCACAGTTCTTTCTCACACGGAGTTTTGGGTTCGAATAGGGGCTGGTCTTGGCTGAGCTAGTAGCGATACTGTCGCTGAAGCTAGGCACACATTTTATCACAAAGGTGATACATATATGTTTATGGAGCATGCTTGTTTATGTGACCACATCGTCGAAACATTGGAAGTGCGAAACTTCATATCCGTCTCGGAGCACGTTTTGGTAAAGTGTGTTTTTGAGAGTGTCAATGTCCTTCATAAGTAAAAAAAGAAATAAAATAAAATTTCCAACAAAGTATAATCTTATTTCTGTACTCGAAAATGGCACCCTCAATATGACAGACCCATTCACCAAGCAGTTCACTTGTCATTGTATGTTGTGAAAGCAGAATCGATCTGCGATGCCATTTACATCATGTCAGCGTCTTGGACAAACTACAAAATGCAAGAACTGAAAGCCATTCGTGAGGGTAGAAGAAAAAAACTTGCCATTGTCATGGAATAAAACTTTCTTAAAAAGGGATACGGTTTTTGGGTATTGAAACAGTTTTAGCCAGACCATGATTTTTAGAAACCTCAGAGCCATGTTCAATATGTTGAATGTAATTGCTGGGGGAAGCTTGCAAAGTTTTTCAGTTTGTTAGTTTTTGTAGCTTCTGAGATCAAGTATTTTCACCTGAACATGCTTGGAAAGCTGGGGCAAAGCAAATAGAAAAAAAGATTTCAAGGGAAAAGCAGTGATGAAGTGCTGCACCCTTTGAGCCAAATTGCACCATGAAGGAAAGTCTGCAACACTTTGCGCCAAAATGTTTTTTTTTTTTTTTAAGAATTGCACTACACCTGAGCCGAGATCAACCTAAAGAAAGGAAGACATAAAAGTATCTTATTATTGGTTGATCTCATTCCGAGAAAAGTAGGAGAAGGGGAAAATGGTACATTTATGCATCTTACGACGTCCCTACTGACCACTTATAGTTTGTTTCATCTTGAGTTGGAGCACAGTCAAAGGCTCAAGCACATACAACCACAAACATACATACTAAAAGCACAAGTCACAGGGCATCACTGCACTTGATTGGTTTAGCCAATAAAAGAGCACATACGGCAAGACGACGAATGCCTTGATGTCGCGATTTGACACTGTTTGATTGGTCAAATCGGCTCGTAGCATCGGCTGCACTTTGGCTTAAGGTGGAACGAAGTATAGTGATTGCTCGTCAACTGCACTGGCCAGTTGATTGCCAGCGTCGTCTAAATTTCCAGACGATGTCAGCGACGTTAGGGACCAAACCTCGCGATTGTCCCCTGTGTCGCGCAAAAAAACCTCTATACTGCATCATGAACCAACTAGGCCAACAACAAGTTTTAATTGTCCCCTGTGTCGCGCAAAAAAACCTCTATACTGCATCATGAACCAACTAGGCCAACAACAAGTTTTAATTGACTACCTTTCAGAATAGTAGGATGGCGGCTAGTGTAATACGACAGAACCAGGGTCTTGTACTCCTGATGAGATCACTTGATTACAGTGTCTGCCACCCGCCTTTGTGCCAAGGTTACAGTGTACCGTGGAACTTGCGCCGGTCGCGTCGCACCGCCTCACCGACGTGCGTGCGTCGAGCTTCACTGCTTTGCACCAGAGTGCTAGGAGCAGTGGCTGGGTTAGCAATCTTGATTGTATGTTGATCTGTAATTTTAAAAAGCTGCGCCTAAAAAGAGAGAAAAGATGCGGGTCTATATTTAAATAAAGTTTTAGTAGATCCTTCCGATTCCTCCGACACCCCGATAACACTATAATGCAAGCGTAGAGCCAGCGGCGGAGCATCGGGTATCGTTGTCGGAGTAATCTACTAAAACTCTCTAACGGTGCCCGATATCGATACGACGCATGTGCAAAGATCTTGGCGGAGTAACCGGTACGGCTATCAGAGTCATCGGAATGCTCTACTAACACTCCCTAATATGGTAGTCAATTAGGTAGTTCCCGTACAGCTCTCGATCGAAAGAGCAGCGGACTTGACTCTGGTTCCAGTGCCGCTAAAGAACAGTGCCACCTTTAAAGCACAATTGTAGGCTTCCAGAATATTTATGGCGGTCGTTTTTCACAGTGTATGATATTGGAGTCTTGAGGTTGAGTTTGGTAGGTTCATGAAGCTTAGGAGCGCATTTTTATTGATAGACGTGTTAGCAGATATGCTGGTTTTATCTGGCATTTTACAGAAATTATATTTACAGGCTAAATAAACTTCCGAGTGTAAAAGGTGGAGGGGAGACAGGCTTTATTCCTACTGAAGTGTTGTGCAATGGTTCATTTTTCAACCATTTTTTTTAAATACCCACTGTAAATGGAACCTACTCTGACCAAAGCTTTATTTCTAAAAAAAAAAAAGGCTATGTGTTTTTATTTTTTTTTTATTTTATCTATTCTTATTACAGAATAGGTAATATAATCCAGTATCAAAGAGGAACCCTCAATCATTATAATGCTCATTTAGCGATGCAATCACTTTTTCATTTTCAAGTGTGTGCTAACAGATGTTGGCATCTGCTCCAGAAGTGTCAGTGGCTGCCCAAACCAATATTTTGCCTGCTACAAAATGTCAAATGTTGCTTCCATCACTGGAAAACGAACCCACATTTGTTAACACCAAACATGTTTATTAACCCTCCAAATGCCAAACCTTTTTTTTTTTTACACATTGGAACGCACATTTTGGTTTCATGCAGAAAAACTGTAGCATGCTTTATGAAGTGTATTAATCTATAGAAGACACACTGATCTGTGGGCTCAAAGTTAAATAATGTCTGCATGCATTTAACCTAGGATATTTTTCTCGAATAATACTTTTCGAGACGTGGTACTACACAAGGTGGCACCCAGGCCTCGCACCTTGGAGCCACTGTTTTTGAGTGGCCTTAACAGACTTTTTTTTTTTATCCGGAACTGGGATTTTCTTATTTAGTTTATTACTGATTCCTAGATATCACTGTTTGCCACAAAGCACAAGGTTGAACGTCATAGATTTGCCTTTCGGGAACAATGGAGTAAACTGAGACAGAAGCCCCCTAAACAAAACTTTCCACGTGCCCTCAACAAGCATTTGCTCCACTCGTACAAATAAAATCAACAGCCCAGTCGGGAGATGTAGGGAGCAAATAGAAATTGAAATCTGCGTGGGAGCACGCACAGGTATACTCGGGCATGGAAGCTCGCACTTAAAGGGTTAAAGATATAGATGCATTAAAAAAGGACTTGACAGAAACACTACTTGGCATCTAACTTGATAAACGAAGGTACATGATGATTGGCCAAGGGTTCCATCCATACTTTAACCATCTATCACAGATTGAATTTGAGAGGAAACGTGCTTGGAACTAGTGGTACTTTGCTTGAAGAACGAGGCAAATGTACACCCATCAAAGTCATTGTGTTCAGTTTTGCACACAGAGAAAACGGTGCTTACCTGAACGCAAAAATTTGTCCCGGTAGGAAAGCATCCCGCAGTCTACTACCATATTGACTTAATCGAAGAAATCAAATTTCCACCTCGGTTAAGGTATGTCTTAAAGATGTGCCATCTGTTCAGATAGCAATGTACAGTTGGCAGCAACATGAGCCCAGTGCTAGCTGAAGAATGTGCCACAATGAGACGACAAGTGGCAGTCCATTCCAACCTACCTTCAAACAGCTTTAGGCACCCAGGGTTCCCCACATGGCATTTTTACTGTACCAGTTCATATTGCCACTGGATCAGTTCATATTGCCAAGAAAAGCAAGCAACATTTCGTAATCCCAGTATCCTTTTATTGGAGTCGTGCATCTGTACAAAGTGTTCTCCTTTTTGACCCGATGCGGACAATGAAATACTGAACTTTCAGGTCTGTTTGGTTTTCTGTAAATAGGCTCTTCGTCAAGTAAAAAATACTAGGGCAGGTGCCCCACTCTGGTGTCAACTGCCCCAATCCCAATCTGGCAGAAGTAAATTCTATCCAATATGGTACAGATTGTGCAGTTGAGGCCCTTTTACCTCTCGAAAGCTAGTAATTATTGACTTGCATGAACAATCTCAACAGTTATATTCTCAGCAGTGCTAAACTCTCAACAGTGCTTTGCGCTAGATTCAGTCAGTAAAGACGTCGAGATCAGGTAGTGCAGACTAAAAAAGTAAATTGAGTAAATCTAACAGCAAAGGACAAGAAAAATGTCTCCACTTCATCGCTGAGCAGAATAGTATTGCAATTTCTAAGTCGTTTCCGAAGCCTGCATTGTCACGTCGATACAACTTCTGTAATACTCGCAGCTAAATAACTTCGGCAACATAGATGTACGCATCCATGTAGCCCTCTCAGTAATTTCCTGGCATCTGCCGTTCGTGTTGGTTCAAGTGCATTTCCTAGTATAGTCAACCACTCGTGCCCCTGCTTATGGTCATCGCAGTAAATAACATGCTTGGCTTATTAACCCTCAACAAACCTGCCTGCTTATCCTTCAAAGTAAACACCAGGCGATTGGCCAGAAAGGAAAGCTGACAAGATATCCATTACATAATGTCTACAAGTTGTATGTTGCTTGATGCGGCAATAGCTCTAGAGAACACAATGCAAAGATATAAAGCCTCTTTAGCATGTCTCTGAAACATAATGCTTCTGTTGCAAAGTATTGGTGCTGCATGCACGAAGCACAGTATTTGGTAAAACATAAATTGAGCTTCAAGCAGTTGGGGGCTAAGTCACATCTCCCTCTGTCAGGTATGTGCGGCAGTCCACATACTTGACATATTTGACACATTAGCACCGATACTGGGCTGCCACCATTCATGGTGCGAGCTCGCAGCTCAGCTGACGAGTCGGTGACACAACTGTCAAATGAAAATGTTGGGAGATATTGTAGCGAATGGCTCTTAAAAGGCGTGCAAGAAAATCCTAGCCCCCACTGCTGCCAGTCGTTCTATTTCAATCAAATGACGTCGTGCACACACAAGAGACGGACACACGCTTTTCCCCTGGTATCGTCATTTCGGAGGCAATGTTTAGGCTAAAATTAATAGAGGTACTCAACATCCTCCAGGAAAGCACAATATGTAAATATTATCTGCATAAAATGTACATTTGAAACCGAAAAGTCAGAACTGGAACAATATATTTTACATTAGATCACATTTAGTGGGCCAAATCTCTCGAACGACTGCCAGCTTCAACTATCAAGAGTACTCGGTGAGCCCCTTGTTTGACTTTCCTCCCTTCCTACGCCTCAATAACTTTCCATTTTGTCGATTATGTTCCTTCCAGCTATTATTACTAAGTACAGAAAGACAAACCAATATATTGAGAAAAAGCAAAAAGTAATCACGAAGTCCCAACAGCATCGAACAGAAACAAAAGCTTTCTTAAAATATGTAGAAAGACTAGATAAAGATGTCTCCTAGACCCCTGGAAAACACTGGCACGTGCATCCCACGACCATGCACAAGCAATCTTCCTGTTTCGCTTTAACACAAACGGGGTGTCTCACGCGCTTTCAATAATCCGGTCAGCAAAAGTCTCGGGAATGTTTCAGCGTGCTGAAAACTCTGTGGGAAGGGGAGAGTAAATGACCGATCCCTTGGAAACCTTGCGCCTCTGCATCAGGCAGTAGGCAGTGCATCCGAAGGCCAGGATGGCCAATAGAGCGCTCTGGCCGATGATGAGCGCAAGGGCTGCAAAGGAAACAAGAAATGTCATTGGACAAATTCGTGACAAGGCCGAAAAGCTAGTCATAAGCATTCTAAATAAGCCTGAAATGCCCGTCCTCACGTCTTTTCCCTGAAAATATGGCATCCACTTTAAACCTGCCCATTTTCCCGCATCATCTTTTGTCAAAGAAAACAAAAATTAATTTTTTTAGTCTTGAATTTCACTTTTACAATAATCACAGGTCATAGCAAGTTAGTGCCATGTACAGTGATGAGAGTGCTGCGCCAATTTCGCCAAACTGCGCCAATGGGCTTGCCCCGCTACATGCTTCTACAATTCACCAAAATGTGACGAATTTTGTGCCAACGCTGTGCCAAAAGCTCATTTTGTTCTTGACTGCCTTCAAACAATTCAGGTTTCAGTACATTTGCCGGAACGTTTCAGTATGATGCTGCCTATTTTTAACAATTTGTAACATCGGTTTGGATCACGCCTCGTTTGATTTGACCTCCGTATCAAACATGACAGTTGCCGGAAGTTCTCCAACACATGTAGCTCCAATTGCTCAAAGTTTTGGTGGCTTTGCTACAAGTGGTGTCAAATGCGCGAGGCATGCATGCTTCGTGCGGCCCTTTGAAGTAAATGGCGGCAAAGAACCGAAATAAGCGACCCTGGGAAGCGAAAGGCACCGAGCACTCGCTTGTGGCGTGTCTTGCACATTCGCGGAACAAGCTTGTAAGAAGTGCGAAGCGTGGAGTGTGTCGAGGGTTTTAGAAACAGGTCCATTAATCCACCAGTGAAAACATTAGAGGAGGAAAGGCCTTATGTCCTAGGTAGTACGCTGCCCAAGCAGACGCCCAACTCACCGCCATCGGAGAGGGAGATGAAGGGCACAAGGCCGCACTCCTTGCGCCAGTCCCGTGGAATGTTGACGCTGGCCAACCGGAGAAACTCATCCAGGGGGCAAGGCTGGGCCGAGCATCCCGGGAAGGAGACCCTCTTGGGCTCCATGTCCAGGGCGTTGAGCGTGTAGCCCTCAACGAAGTGGCCCCCCGCACCATCCCTGTGGAGCTCGAGGAGCAGTGTCGAACCGTACGGCGGGGCCTTGCCATCGAAGATGTTGAGGGCATCCAACAGTGATGACACTAGTGTGTCGTGCTGAGTGGAACCAAAAGGAAGTGCACACGTCGAAAATGGTGCCGGGAGGTGCACACGGTGAAAGTTCCAATCAGCAGTGTAGCGAGGAATGATGCGTGTTTAGATATACGAGGTTGGCTGCATTCTGCGAGGGTTGGAGGGGGGGAGGGAAGAATAAAACTTCAGCTTTCCCCCTAAACCCGCCGACGCCGCCGGGCATAAAAAAAAATCACCTTATGGAGATGGGGCTTAAGCCCCCTCCCACAGGCTACTCCACTGCTTCTAACGTGCACAGCCTCCTGGTGTGACCAATCTTCCTTTGGCAATGAAACTGGCCAAGAAAGATGCCACCATAAATGCCCAAGGAGTCAAATAAAGTTGGAAGGTATGGGCTTGAAAACCAACAACCAGTTTGTGCTTTTCACTTGTCCCCCCATTTCTTCCTCTCCCCCTTCTACCCTGCCCACTGATGCCTGCTTCCTCCTCCCCCATGGTGAGGAGGATCTTCTGCCTTGCAGAATCTTGAGTCTGGTCGTCGACCTTTAAGGAAATTGCAATATTTCTATAGTTTTAGTAGTCATTTACTGTACGTGCAAGCATGTTGCCTTAAAGGGACCATGAAATGACCTTTTTACTTTTTCCAGATAACTTTTACATTAAACCGTCAATGTTCACTGAATGCCGAACAGGCATCCGTTTTCGTCTCGGTTTATTAACTTCTACACAAAAAATTATTGAAATATCTACTTTTTCATTCTCTCCAACTGACCGCAAAAGAAGCCGTGACGTAGGCCGTTTCCGGAATCGGAAGTTCTCTCGGCAGTAGGAGAATGGGAGTGTTAGCGGCAACGAGTTGGGGTGCGCCGGTAGGTTTTACTGCGCTGATGTCACCGACGTATTTCCTGAATCGGCGCCTCTCATCGCCGCATCGCAGCTGAGCGAAATTCAATGAGATATGTTGCACTACAGCGACAGCATGGGACTAGTCCCATACGCCTGTTGGGAAGTGCAGCGAGTCTTCCGGTGAAGACTCCAGAAGTCAACCACCACGTCATTGTTGGCAGAAGGGCCGGCCCGTGTCAGTCGTTTGCAAAGCGACGTAGATGGCGTTTTTCGCGGCCTCGGAGATGCAGGAGCGAGCCGACGTTAAAAAAGATACGTTTGAACTACGAGTGTCAGCAAGAGCCACGTAAATACAGTACCTGTTTACACTCGGAGCGGACGCGCGCGCTTGATGGAAGTCTTGTATTCGCGCTGTTTGTAAGCGCTTCGGGACCGTTCTTTTACGATTGCAACTCGATACTGACGCGACACTCGGCAAAGAAAGGTTGGACCGGGGTTGTACGTATACCTCCCACGAACTGTTATAGCTCGACAGTGACGTGCAGTCTGTCAGAATAAAAATGGCATACCAATAACAAAGTGTACATACCGTGTTACGAAGGTAATCCATACAGCGTTTATTTCAGCTCTATATCACACAAAACAAGAAGATAGAATCGACGAGAGTCCCTTTTCGACGAGTGTTCGTCAACACTGCCTCGGAAAACAAGGGGAAGAGATTGACCTCCCCTCTTAATCTAGAATTGAGGACAGTGATCAAACTATAATACGGGAAGGGTCCACAAGGGTTGCGCGGGCATATTCCATTTAGCACGCCAGCCGATCGTAGGCAGACGGTCTTGCGACGAAGCAACGCAGCGCCGAGTCGGAATGCCTGCTAGGCCTATACGCTTCGTCGGAGTCGGTGGATCCAGCGTTCTTGTTCGTCGTGGACTGTTTTAAGTACTGTTTTCTTGCTGCTTGAAGTCGGCACGCGCGGGAAGAACACGTAGAAAAATAAACGTTCAGTTAGTCAGAGTTTTGAGAGGAAGGAAAACAAAGAAAATTAACGTTCGTCGCTGGCCGCCACCCAAGTAACTGTCGGCCCTGCCCTACTGCGCACGCGCAGTAGTTGCTTCGTTTACCACACGATAGATGGCGCCTGGCTCTCAGCATTATCAAATTTGGCAATTTTCGCCACACATCTCTAATTATGCTACAAAATGTGGATCTGAATATTATTTAACAAAACTTTTAGGAAACATTCGCCGGCTATTTACTGTTTACGATCGCGGTGCTGGTGAGGTAGGCTCTTACCCAATAGGCGACCTGGATTTGGCTGACGTGCTCCATTTCCGCGGATGCATCGTAGTGAACAGGCGAAGGAAGGAAGGCGCAAAAGAGTCCAGTTTTCTTTTAAAAGTTCTATAGCAAATAATTTTTTTGGCTCCCTATTTTTGTGTTTTTGTGTTTCTTTTCACACCTTTTACGACGTGCGGTGGATGAAACTCGATTTTAAAATCATTTCATGGTCCCTTTAAACAATGCTTGCGCTGCATGAGCACGAGAGCTTATCCGAGATGCCATAAGCCAAAGTCCCATCTAGTAGTTTCTGCTACAAGTACAGATTGTTGGCAGTCTCCAGTTAGATACCCAACCTGAGATTGTCAGGGGTGGGGCAATCCGCCAACAATGTGTGTGTCAGCTTTAGTCATTCGTAGGATAATGACAGCATGCAGCACCTTTTTGCCATTTTTCCTCTGGCAAAAGCTACAGCTGCCTTTGCTGGTGCTTTGCAATGCTGCAGGTTCGAATCATGTATCTGGACAAGTAGCACCATCGAAGGCAATTGGGTCACGCCGAAGGTAGGACACCTAACTGAGGCAACTTTTAATTTCTATCTATCAGTAACTATTGTTGGAGCACAAGCACCGAAATATAGACTGTACTGATGCCAAGCTAGAAATTGACTTCTGGTCAGAGTTCATATGATCAATCTATGGGAAAAGGCATGCCACCCTCCTATGCATTTCAACCACCGTCAGAACGGCGGAGCGGAGGCCAACCTCGACTGGCTCAGACTCCTGCCGCACATCGATAAATGCAAAAAACCATGTCATTGACGCATCTAGAAAAGAAGGATGTTTCACGCATACCTAGTTGTATACGGTGGACAAAGTACCGCAAAGTCTGCAAATAGCACAAGCTTTCCCATGTGTCTCCTTTCCCCCAAAGCACATAAAAGCCAATCACTGCCATTTTCAGAAGAAAAGAATAGAGAATGATAGTGTTTTGGCTCAAAAAAGTAATTTGTGCTGGAATTTTGTTGTTTTTGGTGCCTCACCAGTAGCCAGCCTCTTTCCGTAAACGGCAGCGACTGACCGTTCCTATGCCGTGTGGTTAAGGTATAGGCACAGGCTTTCTTTGCGAGAACCTTGTATATCTTACTATCTGTGAGACTTTACGGTACTTCTCGTAACATTTAATTGTCACACACACACAAAAAAACATTTTGCATTTGAAACATGTATGTTTTGATCAAGCAATGAATAGCCTAAATACACATATAGGTACTACCTTTATGCACCGCATAAAGGGAGAAAATTAGTAATGTTCTGCGAGGACCCAAACTTTTGCAACACAGAATGTGCTGTACGGCCAGCTTCTAGCAGCTTCCCGTAATGGAATTGCATCACACAGGGTACAAACCAGACATGAGCTCTCCATCCAAGTTCAGCTGGGACCAGTGTCCTCGCTTTTTGAACCCGAGTTCCAACTGAGTGCTGACACAGCACTCTTAGCTTGATTATGGAAAGAAATTGGTGGCGTGCATCAACTCGGCAAAAGCTAAAGCTGATGAGCTGTTGTACAACTTTAACATGAAGCGGCAGAGCTAACACCTTGCACCAGCTTTCTTTTCCGTTTTCTGTCACTCGTCTTCCCATTCTTTCTCTAGGGACAACCAATTAGCCACTTTCCACTCCCGCCTTTGCTTCCTGCGCCTAGCGTTTCAGCTCAAGCCTTTGAGGCAGGATGAGGGGATCAACAAAAACTTTTTTAGTTTTAGGAGGATCCCGATAAGAATAGGCAGAGATGTCTTGATAACGACTGTATGGTGTAACAACCAAGATACAATGGTCATAGCTCAATCACTCTTTCACTTATAATACTTCTCTTAACGAAAATAGTTCAAATGGTTGCCAAGGTACCAGCTCCACGGGCAATGCAGAATGCAAAAAATAGAGCTCCGAGAAACGGTCTTTAAAGTATAATACTATTTCACTTCCCGAGCTGGTGTAAGGTATCATTTATAGCACTTAAAATAGTCTTTGGCAAAAAGTAATTGCAGGTGGAAAAAAAAAAAGCCCTGTAAGAAAAATATTCAACTCCTTAAAAACATTTTTTTTTACATTACCATACATAAGGCCTGGAAGACAAATACTATAGTTTTGGCCACTTCTCATCCGACGAGTACTTGGAAAGGGTTAAGAAAATTAATTGTAAAGAAACTGCTCTAGTTGATGACCTAGTAGAGCCTCAGAATCAATAACAAACCTCAAAGACACCTTGTAACAGAACCAAAAAAGCCTAACCCTTGCAAAAACATGTACACATTGAAGATCGCTTACTGTGGAATACATGTAGAGCTTCTTGAGTTTTTCACCACTGTCATTTGAGGAATTAACCACCGCAGCTTGCTTCATGTAGTTGGTTATGTTGGCAAGTATGAGACCTGTAGATGTAAATGTGCAAATTAGAATATGCATGCTCGTTTCAACACCACGATAAAGCAGCATGTGCACTACCAAGAGGAGATAAGCTCACCTGCACGCAGCCGCTTTAGAAGTGGAGTCGCTGAGTAGAAAACAAAGCTCTTGTCACTCTGCTCCTTCAAGCGCGACCAGTAGCTTTCAGTCCAATTTGGTACACTGTAGTTGTGGATTTTCTGCAACGGCCATTTACAAGGTTTCACAATAAAGCTTCCTATCTCAGCCTCTGCAGAAATCAGCGAAAGTTGATGATTGGGTTGTTTCATTTTCTACCTTAACGACTGCTACAACGTCACACAGCCCCTTAAGATATTCAGGTTGCTTGCCTTGCTTCCCTTTTGCGACGTCATAACCTTGACCTCGAAAGTCTCACAAGTTCCACACGTGACATAGAAATTAGGCTAGGTTGTTACAGGCTTCCTTTGTTTCTTACTTCTTTACTGAGGCACATTACTTCCTCCTCCCGTCCCACCTGTTTGGGGACTGCTTCATGAAGATGTGCAGTCGTCTCTGAATTTGTTTGCTATTTCCTTATCAATGTTATCAGTGCCCCCTTTTGCTACCCTTCCTCATATTGACCCTGCAGCTATACTGCAGCAATTATGACGCTGCAATGTAAATGCCACCCACCAAGGCACCAAGGTGTGTTTTCGAAAATGCTTGCAACATGGTTGCACCAGAAATATTCCCGGCTTTACAAAACAAGCCACACAGAGCAAACAAGAGGAACATGTCACACACACGAATTGAGCCTAACTACGCACTAAGCAAAGCATGGCATTTGGCATTTCGAGACAGGCACATACTTCAATTAAGAGAGCATCGTAGATCTGGGCCGCTTTGTCCCAACCGTCAACGATTTCTCCAGTCAGCTCCGACAGGTTCACGTACAGCGACTAGAAAGAAAATCACAAGCTTCATCGGCATTGTTAAAGACTGTATTTAAGGGGGGACACGACCTAGAGAAAAGAATTTTTGCAAAAAATCCTGATATTGAAAAATGCTATACAGTTGAACCTCGATTTAACGAAGTCACTGGGACCCGCTAATTATTTTGTTAAATCGGGAACTTCGTAAAGTCGAGGGAGACATTTTTCGGGCATAGGCTGCACGGGGAATCCGGATTTGTTCGTTAAATTGAGAAATTCGTAAATTTGGGTTTTGTTAAATCGAGGTTCAACTCTATTTACACCCACCAACATCTAGAGCAGGGATTCTCAAACTTTTCGGCCTCACGGAACCCCAGGGAGCCTCTAAAATTGACGCGGAACACCCGCCCCCCCCCTCCCCTCCATATTTGACGACCGAGAGACAACAGATGCACAATTGTAGGCAATTTTGCTTGTGGAGGGGGGGGGGGGGGGTTGCAATTTGGGTGTTTGTGGAACCCATGATACCAGCTCGTGGAACCTCAGTGTTCCCCAGAACCCAGTTTGAGAACCCCTGATCTAGAGAGTATTCCCAGGAAGTTTCATTTGTTTACACACTATGGATAGTTTTTTATAAATTTTTTTTCAGTCCACCGATGCTAAAGAAAAGGTAGAGGTTCGAGCACTTTGAACACGTTTTTCTCCGTTCCGCTTTTTGGTATAAGTTTCCCTTTAGGAAAACTATCATTTGATAACGGGACAAAAGGAGAGGCTCACTCATTGTTTTCGTTAAGTGGAATTTAATGGGCATCAGCTGTGGCAACACTTTTTTCATTTGTGGATGTCTTTTATAAAAGACGTTAAGATTTTGGCGACAACATAAAAGGCAAGAAATTTATTTGACTTTTCAGTGCAATGTTAGCATAAAATAAAATACTTTTTGGAAATTTTGTTTTCACAGCTGCACTCTTTGGGCATTCTGCTGCATATCTAGTGAATAAAAATGTTGGGTATTACATTAATATTGTAACGATAGTTTTTCTAAACAATGTCAGAGTGTTCCTGATAAAAAAACACTATAATTTATTTTACAATCTATGTACACAGATGTAATTTTCATTTATATTAAGACAAAGGTTCAAAAGTTGACCATTTTGGGTAGTGTACTTCCTTAGGGAGAACAATTCTATCTTCACATCTCACTTGGTGGACTTCACTACATCACACGTGCTACATACAACAGCAGCATTACCATCGTGGTCGCAGGCACTTCACATGCTAGCCTGCACGAATGTGCACCCCCTGAAAATATGGGCTGAAGCACCCGATCGGGACGTTTGCAGCGCCTATCAATCTGTCAAGCTTCATTAGCTCTCAAATTGTCAAAGAGTTCAGAGACTGAGACCTAAGCTCCGCATTCTAAGTCAAGTCTGAACCAAATCTTCAAAAGCTGGCAGGAAAGCCGAAGAAGCATGGAGAACTTCTTCAGCTCATGTTGTCCGTGGCAGTACAGTAGTAGTGCTCACAACTGGGAAAGACATGCGCTCTGAAGCAAAAAGAACAAAAAAGAAATTGCGATATCTTTAAATTGACTCGAAGTATTGATTAACTGCATATGAATGTTTGAAATTTCTCTGGAGCACAGCTTCTGCCAGATGGGCGAATCTCAGCCTCAACAAATCCCAGTATGGGGGCCCCCATACGCATCTATACAATTTATAGTAGTAGTACCATGTCACTCAAAAACAGGTCAGCCTTTCCACGAATAAAACTTGCAATTGTACCTTTTTTGCGGAGATTATGGATAACCAACAAACTTTATTTTACGGAAGGAGGCGATCAATCATTAATCCGATACTACCAGTAACTTATTTTGAGAAGCAGTCAAATCACGAATTTAGACCTCTCTGCCACTATTAAAGGGCAACTCCGCTTCATTTTTGGTTCTGAGAAAACAATGCAGTCCTCTTCAGTATCGCCTAGGAAGACCCCACATCAAATATTACGACGCAGTTCCTGTCTAAATGTTTCTTAAACGGTCCGGCAAACTTTGCAACTCGCCAAGTTGCCGAAATCGGCTGACTCGAGCGGGCGAATTCAGGCGCAACCAACAGCGCAGTCAAGGCTACGGCATGAGCGGAGCCAACATTGAGCTAAACGTCATCATCATGGCCCCCTTTTGCTTGTTTTTATTTCTCCAATCCAGCGTAGCGCATGACGTCAGCAACGTTGCCTCTCGGCGCTCAGCGGTGTCCACGTGATTGGCGTATGCACCTGCACAGCGCACTTCTTGGGAGCAGACCAACCGCCCACCGTGGTCCCGCCGTTACCGCCGTCTTCCGCGTCACAACCACCGCCGTCGTCTCACCGTTTGTGATTACTGCCTCTCGGAGTTTCGTCCACACTATGGACACCACGTGCGCAGAGTCCCAGACCTATGCCGCAGTTGTGCAGACGTCATTGAATGCCGTAGACACCAAAACGTGGTGAAGAGTGCGGTGCAGACGACACTCGCGCCTGCCGTACGCCCGCCCCCATCCCGCCCGTCATTGGGCCGAGGATCACGTGACATCTCGTACCATGTGATGGCCATGTAGTTGGCGGCCCGAGGCCAATGTTGCCGGACGGAGCCGAAGTTTCGGTTTCGATTTCCACTCGTGTTTAAAATTAGATTTAAAAATATATATCCCATTTTTCGCGAAGTAAACCACGTAGTGCCTTTTACTAGGGCTTTTTAATTCGAAATCACTCATTATCCCGAAATCTTCGGAATTGAGCGGAGTTGCCCTTTAAGAACTTGCCACAACTCCCGAGTTAATCCTTTCAGAGGATACCATTATGGCCATTGCTTGCCAGCAGGCTGCTAGCCTCGCTAATCCAAGGAAATGGCTCGAGGAAGTTGAGGCACCTGTGTTTACCTTGCTCTTCAAAATAGAGTTTAGTGCAGTTATGAGGCCATCAATGCCAAGCTCTAAACAAAACAAGTGGCACCTTGCGGCTCTCCAGCCACAGTCCCAATACATCACACAAAAGACAGCCTGAAGACACTGTCTGTATCTTTCTTGTGTGACGGTTCTGTTATGCTGGACATACAAAAACTCCCCGCGGGCTTGTTCGAAGCATACTTGCGTACGGAGCGAACCTGCTTTTGGCGTGTGGGTGGAGAATAAAATTCAGTGAGATTTATATCGCGATTTAAATCGGACCAGTTTGATTTAAATCAAACCTTTCCCATAAAAATGCTTTCGCAAATATTTTTTTATTTATTGTTTGTCTATCGTTTGTTGCTTTCTGTGAGCATTTGTTTTGTTTTCAAATAAAAAAAAATCACCGAGCAAGAAAGGTTTATATAAAACTAACCGCCAGTTAAAAGGAGCGCTCTCTCGAGGATATCGGCAAGTTGAGCTCGACTTCTACCGCACACTTCGTTCGTCAGCTGCATGATGTCCTATTGCGAAACAAATCGGAACCAGAAGAAACGAAAACTAGGAAAGTAATTGCCTACTGCGATAGAGTCGGAGCTCAAAAGAAAAATAAATCATATTTTTTGTAACTAACTAAAAAAATACTGAGCTGCTTTTGTTCTAGTAGAGGACTACCCCAATAAAACATTGTTAATTAAGCTGTACTTTCATTTGCGGTAACTATTCCTTTCCGCACTGTTATCGGTGATTGAACGCATGGATATGTTAATCTGCCATGTTGAAAAATAGTTCTATAGTGGAAAAACATTGCTATATTATAGCTACGCTGATTTAAATCAAATTAATCTCATATAAATCAAATAAATCTGACTTAAATTTAAGAAAAATTTGATTTACACGATTTTTAAACACAAGATACTATGTTTCTTTTCTACTTTGGTGTTTGCAGGTAATTCTGTCATCAAGTTAGCAAAAATCACAGTGTCATCTTTACAATGTATGAACAGTGTGATTGTGACTACAGAGCGAGCCACAAGGTCGCATTATCACCATCTCCCTTCTGTTCACACAGTTAATTTTGAAGCAGAATGCTTTTACGGACCGGTTTGTAAGTCCAGCATCACAAAAGGCAGTTACAAAAACAAAATAGCACAGTCGAATGCCTTAACAAAAAAATGACCGCATCTCCACGTGGTGAATGATGTTGATTGAGGCAAAGCTCTGGTGGTGCTGATGATATTGATTTTGTTCATAGGTAGTGCTAATGGTGCCGATTTTTTTTTATTGCTCATAGGTAGTGCTGAGTTCTGGGTTGCATTTCTACTTCATTATTACTGCTGCTTTATGGTCGGTGAAATACAGAGCCAGTGGTTCTTCTAGCGGATCAGCTTGGATCCGCTAGAAGCCGTGGGAACGCATCTCCACCGCTTAAGTCAATGGTCCATGTCAGAAAGAGAATGTGTGGTATGGAACATGGTTATATACGCATTTGAGCATTTGACCGCAGCGACCTCTCGTCTATAAACAGTGAGCCAATGCATGCAAAGTTTAACGCGATTATATACGCATTTGACCGCAGCACCCTCTCCTGTATAGACGAGCGGCTACATGCAACGTTTCATCCATGACAGAACCCCCCAGCTCTTGAGTTACTACCACCTCTCAGAGCCCCCTACTCGTCCCGCAGTCGTGGCCAAGTGGTTAAGGCGATGGGCTAGAAATCCATCAGGATCTCCCCGCACAGGTTCGAATCCTGTCGACTGCGCAAACATTTTTTCTTTTTTTAAGAAGACAGATGGGATGGCAATCGATGTGAGCACGGACGCCGGACAAGGCTAAACCGTAAGGAGCTTCGCCCCTAAAAAAAAAAAAAAGCTCTGTCCCTTACTAGGCACCAAACACTGAACCGTGTAAAACTCTCTAGCCCTGCATCAATAGAGCAACTTGGATGAGTGGCCTTACAGATTCTACGTACTAGTGTTGCCACAAAGCACTTGTCGACCTAAAGTCAGAAGTGGCTGTGTGACCATGTATAATTAATAAAGGTTATGTTATCACATAATCTATAGTCACGAGACATGGTACCACGTGTTATTTGATCTG